GGAGAAACAGTGGTGGTTACAAAACAGCATCTGAATATTTACAAACTTTGAAAGAGTCAAAACTTAATTATTATGCTGTTATACTTCACACATTAGGAAATGACATTAAAGAGAATATTCATCAGAGTGTATTGAAGAAATGCATACAGTTGTGAACAACAAAGGGAGCCAAACATTAAGATAATAATTTCTCTATGATTACCAAAACAAGACATAAAATCAAAACAGCAAGTTGAAGGAGAAATTTTGTGGAATAAAACACATGTAACTTTGTGGTAACAGATATATTCTGTCAGGGAATTTGAAACATGCACTCAAAGTACATTTAGGAGTATCAGATTACAGAAACTTTAACAAACCGTTCTGGATTGCATTTGGAACCTATAATCATTCGAAGGAGATGACATTAAAAATGCATATTAATATTGTCTATTGGAATATAATTAAACATTTTACAAATACACATTTTGAAAACTATATAGGAAATCATATTAACAGGTTAAAGTCTCATAATCAAAATCACATTTTTTGGAGGTTAAAAATGTTAATGCATAAATCTAAGAAAAAAAGGAATCAAATATATACCTAACATATGCAGTGAATTTCAGTGGTTAATTCTAGACAAAAATATTTTGGATTTAAAAAGCATGTTTATTTACGTTTTTGTGAGGAGTCTTCCTATAGAATTTAAAATTAATACACAAACATTATTATATTTAAAGAATGTTGCAAGTTAAATCCTCTTTTGAAAGAAGCTTACATGCTTAGGAAAAATGTAGACACAAAAGGAGTCTACTCCTGGTTTACCTATGTAAAAAATATTCTATGTGAACTTAATTCAGATATAACACAAATACAACAAGATACTAGTTCAAACCTAAAAATAAATAATTCATTTAAAGGTTATATAAAAACAAATTCTAAAAACTACTTTGAAAATTGTATTCATGATAAGATGGAAAATAATTGATGAAAAAAAGTTAACTTTATTTATATAAGAACCTTAAAACTAATTTATTTTTTGAAGACTGTTTAAGAACACCAAACTGTACATATAGAAAATTAATAACAAAATAAAGAATTAGTTACCATAATTTGAATATAGAACCAGGAATATTCCTAGAGAGAAGAGAGTATGCATTAAATGCAACATTTTAGAAGACGAAAAACCTCTTTTTTTTTTATTAGATTAAGAATTGAATAGTGAACTGAGAAACACCTTTTTTGATAATTTGGAATTAAACTTTTCTGTTAAAGATTTGTCTGATGAAGAAAAGGTGATTTTAATACTCAATCCATCAACACTATCACGAGTAAATAAATTGGGGTCCTACATCAAAAAGTCATAATAACTAAGGACAAGGGACACTGGACTATTTACTAAATGATTGTGTGTATATATGTGAAGTTCAGTTCTATTGTTTACTTATTTTGTATTTGTCACAAACTTATTGTTTAAAGTTTGTATAGCAATAAGTATTTAAATTTGAATTTGTTATATTTCACCATTAAATTCTTCATTTTTTAGTAAAAACAACGTGGATATATTTGCATGTGCCGGTGAAGAAATTGCAAAATATAACGACATAGGTAAAATTATGATTATTGGACACTTTAATGAAAGAACTGGTGAAGGGATAGACTTATAACACATGAAGAAGGTGATGAATATATACCAGTACATGAATTATATAACAGATCAAATTAAAACATCTAGAAAAATCAGGATCAAAAGATATGTTATAGAAGTAGAGATATATTAGATATGTGTATTGCTTGTGGATTATGTATTTTAATTGGAACATTTTGGTGACATCTTTTCAGTATAATGACAATAGTGCTGTAGATTTTTGTCTTATTTCGGAGAATTTTCTTCAAAATAAATTATATTTTTCAGTAATAAGATCAGATTCTTAGCTTGTCGGATCACTCTAAATTTTCAGTCAGATTATGAAGTATCACTTAAAAATGTCCCAACAAAATGATTTTTCAGTAAATTTATTTTAGAAATCTCCTGAAACTGAAGAAATTCAGTGTAAAATTAGGAGTCTTTTATATTGAGAACAGTGTAAAGCATGCAGCAAATATTTTGCCGGATATCTTATTATGGGGAGCTTATAAATCATTTAAGAAGAGGTCACCGAAAAAGAAGACAAAAATTGTTATGATTCAGAAGTTCATAAAATGAAGAAAAATCTACATCAGGAGAGTACTTTATTTTGTAAGTTTCCATATGATCCCGTTATATGGGGGTCGGCTTTTTAAACACAGAATAAATTACAATAAAAAAATGTAAAAAAAAAGTATAAAAATGTAAGGCGGAAATGATTTCAAAACTAGATTCTTTACATGAAAATGGTCTCTCTAAATATTGGGATCTTTTGAATAAGTTTAAACATGCAGATGGTAGATAAGATTCCTGCTGATACGTGGGTTTCACATCTTGAGAAACTTAATAAAGTATCACCAAATCTTGAATTAAAATTAAGAGAATAAAAAATTCACTTTGTAATTTAGAAAGTAATGAATGGGACTTTCAATGAACTATGTAAAATCTACTGGATTAGACTGTATTTCGCATGAAATGCTAAAGTGTAGTAAAAATGTATTGTCAACATGCTTATGAAACGGATATGTTCCTTATGTCGTAACTACAATACCCTTCCCTTTTCACGAATGTGACTTACCGAATTAGTCTATTTATCGGATTTGTAATAACATAAGCAACACGACGGGTGCCACATGTGGAGCAGGATCTGCTTACCCTTCCGGAGCACCTGAGATCACCCCCAGTTTTTGGTGGGGTTCGTGTTGCTTAGTCTTTAGTTTTCTATGTTGTGTTATCTGTACTATTATTTGTCTGTTTGTCTTTTTATTTTTGGTCATGGCGTTGTCAGTTTGTTTTCGATCTATGAGTTTGACTGTCCCTCTGGTATCTTTCGTCCCTCTTTTAACGGTATTCTCAGCACTGGTTTTATCCAAAACAATGGAAAATTACTTACAATTTTCCAATATTTAAATCTGGTTCAAAATGTGATCCAACTGATTTCAGGGTTATAGCTATTATGAGCTGCATAGCTAAACGTTTTAATTATTGTTTAATAACAGATTAGATCTGTACTTGGTGTCTTTTATGTTGTTATGCATGTATAAATACCCTGCCACGTCTGGTCTGTGTTTTTGTTAGATGTTTTTCTGCTTTGTATCGATCTGATGAGTTAAGCCATTTTCAACTGATTTTTATAGTTTGTTCTTATGTTGTGCTTTAACATTGCTGTCCCGGGTTAGCTCACAAACATGTTTCACCCCGCCACATTCTTTAGCTCGTACTGCTGATCACATGTTCATTTTGAGGACATTAATAAAAAAAATATACGTTAAATGGTAAATCTTATTTATATACATGTTTTGTAGAATTTGAAAAAGCGTTTGATTCAGTTATTCGTGAAGCTGTATTTTTGATTTTTTAAATTGTTTTAAATTGGCATAAGGTTTTTTTCATAGAATTGTTAAGAGTATGATTACTGATAATTTACTAAATATTGAATAAATGATAAATCTTTCTAAAACTTTTATCAATGACTTGCTAAATATTTTTGAAGATCCTTGTTTGTCTGCAATACTTGGAAATCGTAAACTCAATTTTTTATTAAATGCTGATGATGTAATATTATTTTCAACAACAAAGAATGGAATAACATGCTGTTTAGAAAATTTGGAAAAAATATTGAAGTACATGGTGCATTCAGGTTAATTTAAAGAAGACAAAATTAATTGTTTTCAACAAAATTGGAAAATAAATTAATTGTAAATCTAATTTCAATGGCGAGCTGATTGTAAATGTACAGTGTTATAAATATAAATAAATTTAGCAGTTCACTGAGAACTTGGTCGTACTCCCCTACTTGTTCAGTTATATTTTTCTGTAGAATCAAAGACATAACTTAGGTCATTTGTTAAAGTCAAAATCTTACAAGTAGCATTTATATGCACCAAAATGTGTATACACATGGTATTCTTCTTTTATTTTTTTCATCGCAAAACCACAAAATGTAGATATTCTTTATCTCAATGTTAATGATATTACAGATGTTTTAATTAAAAGGTATAAGCAATTTTCGAAAGATAATCTTTTAAAAAAACTACAGTCAAAAAAGGTAACTTACGAGCTTATGTCCAATTGAAGGATATTTTCAATAGACCGACTTATCTAAATGTTGTAAAGAATTTTGAAACTAGGAAGCACCTCACACAAATGAGAAGTAGTGCTCATAACTAAGCTATTGAGTAGCGTCGTTATAAAAAAAATTAAATAACATAAAAGAATTTGTATTTTTTTTTTTAAATTTTAAGTCAATTAATATGAAATTCATTTTTTGATGGATTGTCCAGCATTCGAACAACAACAATTCATATTTATAGCACTGAAGTCTAGTATCTTCAATCCGTGGTATCACGTTTTTAATAAAAATGAAGGAAAACATATGAAGTTATTTTAACATCTAACCCGCCTTAGCATTAATATCTAAAATGACTAAGTTACACTCATGGAAAAACCATTCCAAAATTTATTCAAATGTGTCCAATATAAGAAGATCATCTTCATTCTATTTGTGATTAGTGTGCAGTTTCGATAACATTGAAGGAAACACACGACACAAACTAGGTACGTACTCTCTATCGCATTTATTGACAAAAATGACTATGTTCCACACATATGAAACCTGAGAGATAAAATAAACCAATCCGTTCAAAATAAGTGGTGCGGTTACAGATGACACAAACTATGAACCCTTTATTTGTTTCAAACGGTTGGACCAAAAATGAAACGCTGTCACTTGGCCTGCTCTCGAATCTGGTTATGCCGGTAATAAGCTTTAAACTAATTAATAACTTTTCGCATCCAAAGTTTTATTTTTAGACTATACCTTACACTAAAAATACGTACAAAATAATGTCCGTGTGTCTTATATCTTTAATTAATATTTTGATTTGTACCGTTCATTAAATTTTATGAAGTATCACTATGGTTAACGTTTATAAATATTTCCCTTTCCTGCTGGTCTTTAACATCATCTGGGTTCAAAGTTATAAGTTGAGCCTCTGTGATCATCTGTGCCATTTTGCTTTGAATTTTATATTTCTGTATAAATGGAATAAAGAGTAAAATCATAACATAAATATATCTATATATCTTATATCATATAATTTTATGAAACAAGCAGAGTTGCTGCTGCACCCTTTAAATATTGTGGTGATTAAATGTTAAACTTGTTGTTTCTCTTACTCCTCTTAATTAGTTTAATAATATTACTTTTCGTTACACGCCTTGTTCTATTAATTTCTTAAGTAACTTTATTGAATAGTAAACATTGTTCAATTTATATTGTTTTTCATCGAAACAGTCTTTGAATGTTTTTGTTTTCTTATAGACCCGAGCTAACTCATGTTGAGTATCGTGTGATTACATTTGGAGTAATGGTTCTATCAGTTATCGACATAAAGAATTATTTATTTATAAAGTTACAAAGCTTACATCTTTGTGTATTATCCCGAACCGAAGAGGTTTTCGAATCCTTTCAGGAAGGTATGGACACAGAACATCAAATATTGGACAGATCAGTCGTGGATCTACAGACTTTGGATCATTACGTCCTGTAAAAAAGAGGCAATAATAGTTTACTGATGTTCAAAACTCGTAAATACATTTTCAATTTACGAAACCATGAGGAAACCACGAGGGAATGGCATATAATCTAAATGAAGCAAGATCAGGTGCATTGACAGAGTAAGTGTCTAGCTCCTGTTATGTCAACAACTGATTGACCAAGTCTTTAACCATTGAAATCATTAAAAAAAATTCTTCTGGATAAATGATAGATAATGATTGTACAAATGTTTAATTGCTTGATTGGTGGTAAATTTACTTTTGGTGGCAACACAAATTAGTATGTCATGACTGTATAACGACTAGCCACTGGCATCTATTCTTCTCTGGACATTACCGTGTCAAATGTCTATATAAAAATAATGAGATGTGGTATGATTGACAATGAGACAACTATCCAATAGAGTTCAAATGAAGTGGCTGTAAGCATGTACAGGCCACCTTACAACCTTCAACAATGAGAAAACCCCATACCGTATAATCGGCTATGAAAGGCATGAAGAATGTGAAACAATTCAAAAGAGAAAACTAATGGCCTAATGTATAACAAAACAAATATGCCAGATATGAACCAACGACAACCAGTGAACTGCAGGCTCCTAGCTTGGGACAGGCAAATAATGAATATGGCGCGGTTAAACATGATTGTGAGCGCTCAACCTTCACCTAACCTTGGACAGTGGTGGAACAGCACAACCTAAGAACAAACTGTATATATTAGTTGTAATTTTTTTTATAAGATTTTATAATTTACCAGTTATACATAAATGTATATAATGTATAAGCATTATACAGTGCGTCCATCTTGAATGTGCATATCATGTATCATGACGATATATATCTACATGTGCTTCTTAAAAGATTTATTTCGAGGCACATCATTGTGTGCAATATCCTTCTGATTAAAAAAATATGATTTAAATTGTATTAAAGCCATCGCATTATCGTAACACCTCACGGCAAAAAGTATTCTACGTTTGCCTTTTTCATGTATAATATACTCATTATTTTTTGCGTATTTAATATTGAATAGGAATTTGCTATATATAAATTTCCAAGAGATTAAAACAGGGTTTATGACTTGTTCCCTGCTTCTACGTCTAAACAATACGATTTCCCCTCGATTGTGGATGTATAAATACGCAGATATGTCCAGTTGGAACCAGAACACATCGTATATGGAAAGTGCCATGCTCTATGCATTTTGAAGAACCCTTGGAACAACTCTTTAAGGGTCCTTAGGTGGACTATTGCAAGTCAATATTTAGACCCCTATCCAACATGCCCCCATTTTTCCAGTGATGGTCCAAATTTTTCAATCCTTCATTTCGTTCAATCATTTTTGTAAACTCTTCTTTTGATATTCAACCTGAATATGTATGAAACATTTGCCACTGGGCGTTAGATAATATACAATTATTGCCTTGATGAGGTAAATATGTGGTTTTATTGACTTTTGAAAACTGAAATTCACTGAGGCCAACGGCCCGAAGTGAATATCAGCTTTTTAAATGTTAACTAGACATCATTGAGATGGGAGTCATCTCTGTGGGCCCCGCTGTAAATAACGTGTGGTAAAATAATTGTATGGATAAGCTGATACGAAGCACTTTTTTAAGTTATACCCTCTAGTGTTGATTAATATACATGTCAGGTATAAACTTTGAAATCGGTTTCTCAAGATATAGAGCGGGCATGATCTGTACCATAGGACATGGGGTTGTCAACTGAAACCAAAGTTTTTGACCTTGACCTTTGACCTAGGAAGTTGCACATACATTATGACACACCCTCTGGTGTTAGTTAATATACATGTCAAGTATAAACTTTGAAATCATAACGGTTCTCAAGATATAGAGCGGACACGATCTGTACCATAGGACGCGGGGTTGTCAACTGATACCAAAGTTTTTGACCTTGACCTTTGACCTAGGAAGTTGTACATACATTATGACACACCCTCTGGTGTTGGTTAATATACATGTCAAGTATAAACTTTGAAATCATAACGGTTCTCTAGATATAGAGCGAACACAATTTGTTACGGACGGACGGACAGACTGATCACTATAGGGCGACCTGCCACTAGGCGGGGCTCTAATTAAGCCACATATTAACCGAAATAAAAGACTGACTCAGTTATTGTTGTATTACATATACAGAGAGAAAACAGTGTGTTTGAATCACTTTTCTGTATGTGACTATACTGAAAGGCCTCACTGTGACTTTGAAATAAAGAACAGCAATAAAAGTTCTGTTCCTTTGCTTTTTGTGTGTTTTTGCTGTGCATGTACTGATTTTGTATCATGGATGGATACCCCATATTCTTTTTTTTTTATCTATTATACTGTTTTGTTCAAATCCAATTCATATAAAAACACCTACAAAATATGGAATAAACATAATTATTGTTGATTCAGGCTAATATTCAAACTTTCTGTGGAAAATGTGGTTTCATGAAAGAAAACTACCTGTTAAAAAACTCACTGCTAGGCCAACCACTAAAACTATCGCCGGTGCCAAAAGCATATAATATGTAAATGATAAGTCGTACAGAGGAAAAATCGTGTTTCTGAAAGAAGAAAAAATCTACAATGTTTTTCATACGATGAATACGATTTAAGACTAAGATACAGTTAAATTGTTTCTTTCCCACTGTTAGCATAATTTCCATATAACCAAGGCATATTGAACTGAACTCAAAAAAATGGATGCAGCTTTTATTATTTCCCGAAAGGAAAGCTTTCAAAATCTGACAAGGATCAAAGAAACATAAATCGTGTGTAAGAATTTTGTTTTTCTTTCGGTTATGTTGAAATTTCTTTCTCGTGAACGAGCTTTTCAAATTATTAAAAAAAAACTGTTATATTGCTGATGAGACAAAGAGCAAATCAAATATATTTTTTTTAGCCAAACCTTTCACTGTTTGTTGGTACTGTGGTCATAGACATACTGCTAAATGGTAAGGAGTTATTCCAAACGCATGTTGTGTGATTCGAACACCCGTCTGTAGACATTGGAGACATTGGATATATTTTGTACATGAATGAACCGATACCTATCCACAACATTATACCCATACTGGTAACAGTGCCAGCAAAAGCTCCCTTCAAAAAACGAATAAACTTTTTTTTATTAGTTTAGTAGTATTTTCTGTTATTCGCGTAATTAAGATTGTGTAGTTTCCATTTATTTCACTGTATCTTAGCTGTACTAAATGTAAAAGAAGTTCATAATACATATGATACGAAAACTGCCATGTAATAGTTTGTTTTATATTTGATAACAATATTTAATGAATTCTGCCCTCTGATTGTATTTGCATGTTCAATAATACTTTCATGGTCATGTTCAACAAAAGCTGTATAAATTTCGATAACGTTAAACTCGATGAATTAATTGTTAATAAAATTTGAGTATGAATGTTTATATGCAGTTAGTGTCCGTACTGCATCTTGAATAATATTTTTTGGGAGATTTCACATTCTTTTCATATACATGCTTCTATATTTAATTAACTTAGCAATGCATGCAGGCCTGAGAGAGATTTACATGAATTTCTGTCGAAACAAGGGACGTTGTTTATATCTGAATCTTTAGCAATGGATCTACAAATGTACGCTTCTGGAGTCGATTTCACAAAAATACTTACGACTAAGATTGATCGTAAGTCATGAATAATTCAGTATACTTACGATCAATCTTAGTTTTTTTGTGAAACCGACTCCTGGTGGTTGACCTTTGTTGTCATACGTTTATGGGTACTAGACAGACAAAGCTTTAATCAATATGTCATTTGCGAAACCAAACTTTCTTTAGAATAGTTTAAGAATACCTTTGCGTTTGCCCATGGGAATACCATCCCTAAAGTGATGACACCTTGAACTGGCGATCCCATAATTCCAAACATAGATAGAGCTGCCTGAAATGATGAAATAAAACACGGCTTATTACTCGGTAAACGGGAAATATATCTTGTTGACGGTTTTAAAAAATAAGTATAAACAACACAGTGAAAAAGGCTTAACAAAGCACACTGTTATATGAACGAATTGATTGACATCATAAATATCCCTATGGTTTTTAGTTATGCGACTGTCATACAAGTGAGAGGTTTAGCTAGCTATAAAACACCATTTTCTACATAAGGAAATGCCTGTACCAAGTCAGGAATATGACAGTTGTTTTCCATTCGTTTGATGTGTTTGAGCTTTTGATTTTGCCATTTGATAAGGGACTTTCCGATTTGAATTGGTGTTTTGTATCTGTAGTTGGCATGCGGTATCTGTCAGAGTTTATGGGGATAACATTTTATTTTTCATTTTTATTTTTTTCGTGTTTTGTCTTTTGTCCAAGGCCTTTGACCTTTTTTTTTTATTGATTTTATTCGATTTGAAATTTTATACGTTTTACTGGAGTATTTGTAACAGCTTTGACACTACTACAGTTTCGGTAACAGTGATTACACGTCTACATGAAAACGTTTGAATTAAGAACCTACACAGAAAACTTGATGAAGATTAGTTTACTCTACATAACTGAAAATTGAACTGTTACCTTGACAATACTACCAAACTCCGATGCTACATATGAAAATAGCAAACACACGACTCCCAAAACCAAAGCTAAAAAGAGACCAAAAACAAGAAGAATGTTATCATTATATCAGAGTAAGATGGGGATATCGTTGTATCATTCCATACTCAATCTAAACTCCCAAACTACTTTGAGTAATAAGTTAGTTTAAATCCTAGTGATTACATAATTGTTTAATTTTGAAATGTTTCTACTATTTCACTTTTAAATTTTGTATTATTACATTTGAATTGAGCTTAATTTAAGACGAATTATATGTAATCTGTGCAGTGGCGGATCCAGGGGGGTTCAGGGGGTTGAACTCCCCCTTTTTTTGACGATCAATGCTTTTGAATGGGGACGTATGTTTTGAACCCCCTATTAATGCTGGGTTGGGAACCCCCCCTTTTAAAAATGGCTGGATCCGCCCCTACTGTGGTATGCCCTGTGTAACCACGGATTATCCGATGGAGAATTTATGTCGTAGAGTTACACAAAATAATAACATTAATGTAAATGCATTGTAAGTACTATCATCATTTACGACAGACAAAAGAAAAGGGATCTGTAAGATATTTCATCTATAAATAGGCTACCCTACATCTAGATAGACATGTGTTTCATTGGTATGCGTGTGTTTTTAATTCAAACATGTGATTTCTAGCTTGACAGAAAGTTTAAGTGATATGGTAACTGTCATATAATTTTTTTTTAATTTTCCAATTCACTCTTTATAGCGAATTTTTTATTGTATTTTATGTAATATTGCCAAGGTCTTTCGTATCGACAATGTTGTTCCAACACCCTTGATTTCGAAAATTTCTGATACACTCTTAACAGTAACATTGGTATAGTGTTGTATATTTAGTTACCCATTATCTTAGACAAATTAGCTGCCTTCTTATCGCTGATGGTAGGTGATATGAATGGTTTAACGATATCTTGTAGAAGGACTGCTGACATGGAGTTCAGACCAGATGACACGGTACTACAAAGTAAATAAGACCAGATGACACAGTAATACTTAAAGTTAATATAGTGTTTATTAGACAAACCGACAGAATGTACCTCATTTATTTCTTTTAGGTTTCAAGATATGAATACAGATTTTACATAATTAAACATTACACAACATAAAAGTATAATAATGTAATTTTATTAACGTACTTAGGAAATGGTATGACTATAATGACGCAATGTTAACTATAACTAGTTTGCCACAAGCATGCTACCGTGTACAATATACCTTAGTGATCCACTGAAAACTGCTGCTATGAATATACCAGGTAACCCGGGAATACTTCCCATGATCTCCATCACAAATAGAGGCATCAGCTTTAATTATAAAAGTAAAGACGTTCTCATTAGTATATACGCCTTTTTCTATATTGGGATGAACTAATAATTAGTAGCAGTTTTGTTACATGCAAATTACAAAAAGAAACATTATTTTGGATTTTTTTTTAAACCATAAAAAATTTACTTTAATAAGAACGTGTTTTCGGTCATCAGACTACAAACCTGATCTCCTGCTTTAACAATTCCCGCTGATAGAGGATCGCAGGTTTGGTAGTAGGCAAAGACCACTAGACCATTCAAACATCCCATTAAGATTATGAGCATTAATCCAGGCAAACAAAACCACAAGGCCCTAAAGTAAATTTAAAACAGAGGGTTAAACATTATTAATTACAAAGTTTGAGCTCTACCTCCTCAAAATTAAAATATAAAGACTTACTGTATGGGGTTATACACTACAAATAGTATTTCAAACAATGTAAATTGCGATTTTCAGACACTAAAGGTCAAACAAGTTAAGTTTGAATTACTTTCTGCTTGAGTGATTTCGTTAATAATCAAAAGGCAAATGACAAAGAATAATAATAAATTATGAAACAAAGTTAGCACATAAAAAACATAACTATAAAACATGCAGTACAGCGCAGGAACTGGTAAAGGTTTGATTCCTATATTGGGCCACCTAGTTAGTCGTAAACTCGCAGCGTGTCGGTCGAGTAGATACCAGGGTATACATATATCTTATCAACATGTTATCATCCTGAATATGCATGATATATTTGCCGCTGGATGTTAGAAGTCCATCAATCAATTGATAAATCATGTATTTGTAGTACATGTAACAACAATATGGTAACCTCAGTGATAAAATAATATAGTAAATAAATTTCTCTAAATTGTAAACTATTTTCTTTCTTTAGTTTGCTTACTTTTGAGCATTCTTAAGTGTAGCACATGTCAGAGTTCTTTGTATTTGCGCCTGGTTTGTTCCAAAAAGTGTTGTCCACATCATTGCTTGACCAAATAAAGCAGACCATACAGTATAACGTGTAGAATGATCTAAACTAAAACTAAATATTGAAGTGTTTTTATAGACAACTAATTTTAGTCTTGAATTCATTGTATTGTAAATGAACTTGCTTTCCTTAAATTAATATATACATATATATCTTCATGCCCAATGTATCATGTACTGTGTTACAACTCTAGATTCTACTGACGAAGAAAGGTAACACTAGTCTACCGAAAGCTGAATTTTTAGTTCAGTCTAGAGCGCTGGACACAGTGCAGGCGGTGTTGTCTCGATATCCCAATAGTATGAGTTCGAATCCCGCCGAGGGAAGAACAAAAATTTGCTTCCGCAAATTTGCAGATTCAACATTGTTGTGCTGATATTTAGAGTAATTATGAATATAATATGTGTGATTCAATGGATGGAGTTGTCACTTGTTTAGACGTACTTATCATATATATAAATAGATACGCACAATTTTAAATTATTTCATTGAGAATTTTCGGTGGAATTGTCAGACATTACTAGTATTACAAAAGAACAGAATTTTCCTATTTTCAGAAGTAAAAATCGGTGTCCCAGTGATAGTAAAATAAACTCAAACAACTATTTTCTCGTATATATATTTCTAAACTGGGATTATCATGAAATAGGGATGACTTTTTTTCTTTCTTTTTTTTTCATTATAAAAAATGAAAACAACACGTTATAAATTTACTCAATAAATTTAATTCTCTCGTGTTCTCCTGCAATTCTCCAGACTTCGGACATTCCGCCAGCTTTGATGGATCCCCAAATCAGAGTTACTATGACACCAGTCAACATGAGAACAGCCTGGAAACAGTCAGTCCACAATACTGCTTTCATACCTCCCTAAAAGTTAAGGTAATTCAAATCTATTATTTTAGGTGTACCTCAAAACTTTACATGAAACAATCAGTCAAACCTATGAGGAAATGTTAAATACTGCTCTTTGTACCCATTAACAAAATGGCAACGAAAGAAACATATAGAAACGGTACAAAATGAAGCGATGTTGTTGAGCAAAACAAATGTCAAATCCAATGTGAGAAAATATGTTATCAGTTTTCGTTTTATGCACAAGTCACTTTTAAAGGACTAAATAGAAAAATGTTACCCTTAATATACAAATACAGGGTAAAAAGAGGCAATGGGATAATAAAAAAAATCATAATTCGAAGAAAAACAGACAATACCATGGCCAAAAATAAAAACCATAAAAAGACATACAACAAAAACAGAACATTACAGAAAACTCAAGATTGAGCAACAAGAACCATATCCAGGGTCAAAATCCATCCGGGATTGAACTCATTAGCACCAGAATGGTACACAGTTCCTGTTACACTATCAAGGTAAACGTTTATCTAAAAATATCGACGTCAAAATGAGGTTTGATATCACTAATATCGTGCACAACGTCAATAGTACGACAGACATCACGATCTGGTTACTGGCTTTGACAAATGGTTCGCGATTTGTTTTACTGAGTATTGTCATTTTATTATTTGATGTGACTTGATTACTTAACAATATGGGGGATACAGAATGCGTGTCAGAATTGAATGATATTACCCTTCTGAATCAAGCTCCTTTCAATCCAATTCTTAATTTTATTGCGGTTCAAATAACATGATGTGTATCTTATTGTGTTTTTGTCATTTTGAGGGAATTGATGTTGAGGGCATTTCTTTAACAGTCTATGTTTCACTAGTTTTCTAGACTCAGGATGATTTAGATCTTGACATGATGTTTAGACAACTGTCTTTTGTTGAATAACGTATGTAGATGGCTTTTGTTTTTTGTGTTGTTGTGTTGCTGTCTCATTGACGTATATCTCCTTATATACTATACATGATCACAGTCTATACTTACGATAGCAGTATATACTGTACATACAATTCCAACAGATAGCACTGCTCCCCATAATGAAAATCCAGTAACTGATAATAGAAAATTAACAATGTATTCAATATGAATACAGATTTTAACTTTGATATAGTAATGTTATTGTTATCCATTCTTACCGTTTGTTGGTATAGTCGAGCGCTTGTTTTGTCAATGTATAAGGACTTCCCCCTTTGTGAATTAACCTTGGAGTTTGGTATTTGTGTTAATATGTTTTTATGGGAATGTATGCATCAAATTCGAAATATAATAAAAAATACGCGTTCAATCAAAAGGAATGTTATAATATTAGCAAAAGAAACGTTGTATCATCTCCTTATTTTTATATTTTAAAAGTAGCTAAATGAATTAATGATGTAAACAAATATATAACAAGACACCATTATTGATTCAACGACATTTGGCCATATATTTTCATTGGTAAACCTTATGCATTACAACCTCTTATTGCTTTGTTTTTAGATAGAACAGTTCAAACAAAGGTATCATTATTTCTTGTTTCTAGAACAAAAAAGCAAATTATCAGATTCATATACAACATGTAAAACCAATCAAATAATGATTATCAAAGAAATTTATCTATATTTTAAAAATCCATATATTTGTCTTGTACATCATTAAGAAAATATGTTCATGAAACGAATCTGTATGTTTTTCACCATTTGTTTTGCATAAAAAGCTGTATGTATATATATGTATATATTATATTATTATATGTTGAGTTATTCATAGGGCATCAGGGGAGATTAGTATTGTACTAACTGATTTTACCCTCTTTAAATAAAGTATTTATTATTATATTATTATTATTATAGAATAAAAGTAACGCTTGAATTGTAACATTATTTAATTATTTGGATGAAAGGTTTCTAGCATTTATGCAAAAGTGTCTGATAATATAGTTTTAGACGAAAAGAGAAAAAAAAACATATATGTTATGGTTTTGTTAGACATACTTTGATCATCGACATTTGGCCAGAAATGAGTTAAACAAAATATTGACATCTGGTCCAATCAAGAAGAAAATATTCAAGTGATCTTCGCTAAAAACCGTAACAAAACTGCAACTACCGTTGATTTATACAAACATCATTTATTTTTTTTAGATTTTTAATCTTCTCATTTGTACCTTTTTTAAAAATATTAAAATATTATAGCAGCAACATTACTTAATTACCTGCATTAAAGGCGAGAGCTGGTGCATACAGAACAATAGACATGTACATTATCTGCAAAAGATGGTTATGAGATTTAGTTTTATAAATTTTTCTTTTAAAAACTGAGAATGGAAACTGGGAATTTGTCAAAGAGACAACAACCCGACCAAAGAGCAGAAAACAGCCAAAGACCACCAATGGGTCTCAACACAGCGAAAAAATCCCGCACCCGGAAGCGGGCTTCAGGTGACCCCTAAACAATAATGTATACTTATTATTGAAAACATTTTATTTTTCGGTTGCTTAAAAACAAATATAACATGGTAAAATTCGCTTGACCTTCTCTAGAAGGAACAGGCATTTTCGCAGCATAGTTAAAAGTGTAGTGGATTTGTTGATTAATTCCATTTGAGTTTAATTTAATTCAAACTTTCAATGTAACTATAAATCGACAAAACGAACAACATGTGAATTTTACCATTTCAAAACTTTACATTTTTATGTAGAAATAATCTAGCACTATATATATGGACATTGAAAACATATATCTCAGTTGACTTGCTATTCCATTATTTTTTTCTTCTTCTTCGAAATTACATACCATATACATGCAAAAACAAATGGTCACCAACATTCTCACACTTCTACTAAATCGCAATTCCAGATACTGAAAAATATTAACATGAGGGTTTTTACACATAGATAATTAAGACATATATATTTGGCAAGTTTAAAACGTGATCTTTCATATGCCTCATTAATGCATAATTCTATACTTTTAACAGTAATCTTTTTCACCAAATCAACAGAAATAGCAAATAAATTGATTTTTCACAAAAACAACACCGTGTTCAAAATTTAGTTATCAACTTCCGACCAAAGCGATAACTCAACAAAAAAGTATAGTTCCGTAGAAGCTTAACTGACGCTTAAAATGTGCTGCTTACACGTTTTGCTAAAAAAATCATTTTACCCAAATTTGTTTGACATACTTTAACTGCCAACATTTCTATGACTCAGACAACCCCTTGAACTTCAGTGAGGAGAGAAAGATTAATTACCATTGAAAACGTTCTTAATTTAAAAAAAAATCATATTCGAGTAGACTAATGCGATGCAACCGACTACCGATGATTTCTTTTTCATCGAAATTAGGGGCCATTAATGGCTTCCAACCTTGAAATCGAACTTGGGTTTCATGCAATTTTGTGATTTGTTTCCTTTTTCTTTTTTTAATGATTTTGTTTATTTTGTGAAGCTTTATCCTTTACTCCTTTTAGTTCGTTTTGATTGATATTTGCAAAATGATATTCACAAAATGTAACATAACTGCTCAGTGCATTCCTTAGTGTTAAAGTACTGATCAGAACTATGTTTTACATAGAAGACTTGTAACGAAAGGTATTTTGATGAATTTTTCAAGTCAATATGTTAGGTATATTCAATTTCGGTAAAACTGAAAATCTTATCAAGAACAACTCAAATAGCCTGATTGAAGCTTATAACATCAAATGAAGAACAAATTTTGCAGAACGCAACAAACGACAATCACGTAACTACAGACTCCTCTAGGTTTGTAACAGGAATATAAAGTAGGCTCAATCCTCCAATTGCCTTTGACAGTGGTGTGAAAGTACAACATAAGAAAAATCAGTTGAAATGGGCATGACTAATAAGACTGGTATAAGTCGCACAAAAGCAAATCACAAAGTCACAAAAAAAACAAAGTATCGATCTAAGATCGAGAACTCACAGTTATTGAAAGTTAGCCCAAAGCCTAATTTTTACTAGAAACTAGAACACACCCGCGTCATCGCAGGTCCGTGACTTAATTAAAGTACCTATGCCTTATTTTAGCCTGGATTTTTAATATTCGTTTTGTCATCCGATAAAGTCATGCTGGTTGTAAGTTGAAAACTTTTCTGTGTTTTCCGTGAAAATCTTTCTGTTTGAACCCGTCCTGGTTTTCTAACTTCATTAAACTTCCTATAAACTAAATTAAATTTTTTAACTAATTTACCAAAATTAATAGTGGTATTGAGGTGGAAGAAAACAGACTTGTTAAATAGTGTACTCTTGTGTAACATAGATATAAAAAAAAAAACACTTGAAGAATTCCGGTTTCTCCTGATAGAGGAGGGATTTACAGAAGGTAACAGGTAACTACAACCGGGAACTATATGTAACATATACTATTGGTAACGTCAGAAGCATTTTGGGCAAAGCACAACCTTACGTGCAATGGTTTACATGGATCTCATCTGAAGTATCAAGATCTATAAACAACATCATCGTAAGAATCATGATGCTATATCATGTTTTTAATTAGATTACTACCGGTACAGCTAAATTTTAGTATCTATGAAAGAATTTTTCAAAAGGTTTTGGGTAGTAACGATATCCCTTACTAAATAATTTACCAGTTATTTAAAGATTACTTTAATTGAAATGCAAGGCACCTACATAGCGAACGAGTAATAAAATATAAAAAAAAAACATTAGAAGGGATGATTTGTATGTACTAATTACTCCATCCTATCCCTGCTATTTATAAAGGTCCGGCCCATTGTATAGAGCAACGGCATCATTTGACCCTTGATTCGTATTAAGGATGTTCGCTACTCTGTTTCAAAATAACAAGCTTTTTATAGGACTAATTAATTGATAGTCTACAAATAACGGAACTCAAAAAGCAGAAAAAATTGAAGGGTCTGTGACCTTGTTTTCGAGATATAAGCCATTGAAAAATTGGCTGGAAATGATTCTCTCTGGACTTTTCATACATTTAACATTGGCACCTATTTTCTTTCAAAAACTAGGTAAAAATAACAAGGATTTTATAATATTTTCATATATGCCTTTTTAAACTATATGGTATAAAATTATGAAAAGAAAAGTAGGGGTTAGTGGGCAAAATATTTATTTACACTACATGGATAAAACCAAAGGATTCCGAATATCTGACAAACATTCAAAAACAAGAGGAGCAAACATCCTTGATTTGAGGAATAACACGGGCGCTAGGATCCCTGACTACATCTTGATTTAATACTTGGGCTTTAGACTCTACATTATTGGCTTTGGACTCCTTTTATTAATGTTTTGGAGCATCGGGCTCCATTAGCTCCAATGAAAGGGCTCTGAGGTTCGCGATACGTGGACTTCGTGATCCTGGTGAATTATAGAGCTCGTTTTAATGATAACAATATACAGGGATTTAAAATTTGCACTTATATTACCATCTTTAAAATGTGCGTGTGTTTTTTTTTTTTCATATCAGATTACCACACAACAGAAATATATATATTTTACTTTTAATTAGCTAATTGTTAAAAAAAACCAGTGTCAATGACTAACGGATAAAATAAAGTATAATGTTCGTTCAACAAAAGATAATTAATGGTAAATATATTACCTCGTATGCACTTGTCAGCTTTAGATTATAGAATATCGGAATATGTACATGCGCCGATAAGAATATTGCTATTGGAAAGGCAAGTATACACCACATAAACATCGTGTTATACACATACACTTCAGCAGGCACTCCAATAATGGCAATTGAAGACATAAAACTGGCGAACAATGACAAAGCAACAGGCAGCACTCCCATATTCCCGCCGGCCAATAGAATTTCCTTGGTACTTTGCTTATTTCTGTTTTTAAAAGCATTGTATATTCCTATACTAAGAGATACCAGAAGTGTCACTGCAAATATTACATAGTCAAATGTGGAGAATTCATTTCTGTGATACATCATCAAAAGGTTGGTGTTGATAAAGGATGTTGTATTCTTCTAAAGTATGTAAAATTAATTCGAACTGGGTATTAATTAAGTTAAAAATGCGTTTACATGTATCATCACTTAAATAGGTCAGATAACTTAATGTTATACATGTAAAATAGTTTGTATTATAATATAAAAGTGACAGTATATGCAAATTACTCCTGCTTCAAACGAAAATTAAGACAAATATCTAGAAATGATTGAGAATTGCAAGAACAAGGAGAATCACAAAACAATCTTTCAATTAAAGAAAAATAATGCTGTAGGATGTCACAAATTCAAACATCTGAGGATCTAAAGTCAAACAAAACAATCTTTCAATTAAACAAAAGTAATGTTGTAGGATGTCACAAATTCAAACATCTGAGGATCTCAAGTCCAAACCTTCGGACTGTTTTTTTTTATTTGGCCTTACAATAAGTCTATTTGACATGTTAAAGTAAGTCAATCTAGATTCGCCTTACGTGACAAGGTAACACTACGACTATTGAAGTGATATTCTTATATAGCGGATGTGGTCGAGTGGTCTAGAGGGCTGGACATGAGGCTAAGCGATTGATGCTGTAGTGTATCAAAGGTGTGAGTTCAAATCCCGTTGAGGGACAAAAATTTGACAGCATAAAAATCTAATGCTAACACTGTTGGGTTTAATTTTCAGACTTATATATATATATATATCTAACATTGTTGGGCTAAATTTGAGACGAGATATAAATGTCTAAGAATATAACTTAAACACGCTAATTGATACATTAACAAAGTTTTATTAGATTTCAAATAGATATACGCAATATTTCGCTAGACAAACTAGCTTCATCAGGCGTGTGCAATTATCCAGATGAAATCGGATACACGACAAAAAATATTTGTGTAGCTTAAACTACACGCAGTTGGAATAAAAGGTTAACATATTTATTGATGTTGTATAAATTGTACGAATTTCAAGATTATTGTTTTGATTTATTTTTAAATCTTTTCTCGTCTATTCCATTGAGTCCATCAGGTTCAAGAGTCCGTAACTGGTGCATCCAAAATCTCTCTCTCTATTGTCTCCCTTGGTTTTTCTCAATGATTTGAAATGTGACATTTTCAAAATTATGCCCTTCTCTTTAAAGGTGATTTGTGATTGGGCAGTTTCTGGTGAAACATAAACACCATCCAATATCTGACTGAATAACAATCGGTCATTTTATACAAAAGAAAGAAACTGTCCAATTACAAGTTACAGTCACTGCATACGAGAAAATATCGACGAATTAGTGTACGGGAAGACAATAATACATTAACAGTACATTTATGAAGATATTGATAATCTAAAGGATTTTTCTTTTACAAGAAAATTCACGTACACTTGTTTTATAGTAAAACTGAGTTATTCAGGTACATGTTTTACATCTCCTCCCCTTTTTTATATTGATTTTGTATTTACATTGTGTCATAGATCAATTTTATTCGTTCAGTGTATGTTTACTTGTTTTTGTTACTATGTCTTTTGATTGAGTTAAGCCATTTCAATTGATATTTTATAGTGTGTCTTTCTATGTTGTGATGTTACACTATTGTTTCAGGTTAAGGTGAAGGTTGGCGCCTGTTAAAACATTTAAATCCGCTGCCGATTTGTTTGGACCTGTCCTAAGTCAGGAACCTGTTGTTCAGTGGTAGTCGTTTGTTGATGTGGTTCATAAGTGTTTCTCGTTTCTCGTTTTTTATATAGATTAGACCTTTTGAATAGTTTTACACTAGTCATTTTTGGGGCCCTTTATAGCTTGATGTTCGGTGTGAGCCAAGGCTCCGTGTTGAAGACCGTACTTTAACCTATAATGGTTTACTTTTACAAATTGTGACTTGGGTGGAGAGTTGTCTCATTGGCACTCATACCACATCTTCTTATATCTATCTATGTGAAACATATTCAACTTTTTTTTTAAATTTGAAGTTTCATATGACTTTAATCTATCCCAGTTGATGCACTCACTCGTGCCTGTCTCTATACGATGACAATAATATAGAAAAAGATCTTATCAGAAATGAAGAATGATTTCAGTGCTTACAATTTTCAAAAGGAATATGTTAACGTTATACTAAACATAAGTCTTCTTCCTTTGACGTCAACTTGTAAAGTTATAGGGACTATTAGGGATGTATAAAAGTTAAAAGATAAATAGAAGAAAAATTATCAACATTGATTCAGAAATCAAAAAGGTTCTCTCTCTTCGACATGCAATTGTTATTTTCATTAAAAACAATATTCATTAGCAACCCCTTTCTCTCATGCTCTCCTTAATTTGAAGATCTGTTTGAAAACGTGTGTTGTCACGGATTTTTTTAAAATTTCGTATCTTGGTTAAAGTATGGACCGAAAAGTCGCAAGTTTGCATTCATGTTTCCTGTTTCCACAAATTTCGTTAATTTCATACCAAAGCATGTAGTTTCGAAGTTTCAATAAACAAATGAGCAACACGAATCCCACCAAATACCGGAGGTGATCTCAAGTGCTCACAAATGGTAAGCAGATCCGACTCCACATGTGGCAACAGCGAGTTGCTCATGTAATTACAAAGTCGGTGATTAGTCTAAATTCGGGGATCACGGTCATATTCAAGGAAAAGAGGACAGAATTATGTTTATGACAATTGGAATATATCGGTCGTCATCTGTGAAACAGATTTACACAACGGTCAACCAACTCGTGATGGCTTCCGTTAAATCAAAGGGACGACTTCAACTTCACCGCTTGGAACTCTTGGTTTAAAAATTTCCTTGTAAGCAGCAATCCTCTATCAAGGAAATCACGATAGGAAATGCAAGCTCTGGAATATCGCATCAACTGGGAGATATATAAGTAAACAGTTCCATAATGAAATTGCAACTTTCTCTGACTTCAGGAACAACATTATTCCATCCGCTTTTTGGTTAAATTTGAAAAAAATCGCAACCGCAACATTTGACAACGGTGCAAAATGACAATTCCAAGTTGACGTTAAGCAAACAAAAATCATTCAATAAAAAACTGACTCGCCTTGGCTTTATCATACTTTTCTCATTTTCTTCGAATTCCAAGATATTCATTGAATTATTGAAGGCGTTGAAGCTCAAGTTTACCATACAAACAAACAACTATTTATTAACATTTGCCCTATATGTACAAGTAAAATAAAAAAGGATGGATGTATATTTGAGAAATGAATGTTAATTCTAATGAAGTTGCTTTTATCTACAAAAAATGTCTGATAAGAATACTGTTCTGGTGGATTGTCTCTTTCACTATCATTAAGATTTCATATTGTCATTCTCCAAGTTAAATGTTACATTCTCTTTGTCTTTGTCATCAGGATTTTGAACCATAATTTCCATTTCAGTCTCAATACCATTGACCAGTTGGTCTGTATTTCCTAGGCTGGGATTCTTGTCCTTTAAAGGCATTTCAGATTGTGTTGGTTTAATGTCATATTTCTGAAATAATGAAAATATTATGTCAACAAAAAAACATGCATAAAATTGGTCAATGATTTGCTTGCTGCGTGTTTATATATTGATTTTAGAATACATATGTTAAAAATGTTTATGATTATAAAAAATTAATATCAATCAGCAAAACAATACATATCTATCATTCGCATCTTGTGTCACTAAAAATTTTAAATTGTGAAAACGACTTGCACAATTCTTGTTTCCTGATTTAGAAATATGAATATAACTTTAAAGTCTAAATTATCAGATAACTGTCCCGACCATGAGGGGAGAAAGAAAGAATGGTACATATATACAAGTACCGATATGACCTCGCCACGTTTAGATCTTACCATCCCATAATAAAAGTGAAACACATAACTGTGTATTGAAAGAGGAAAATGTATTTATCCTAAAAATATAAATACAGGCAAATGTTTTCCCTGTACACTTATTTAACAGTAAATAATATATATAAAAAAATATTTACCCCTTTATGATTGACTCCAAATCTGAGAGGTTTGAGTATTTTTTCTGGTAGATACGGAAAGACAACGTCAAATATTGGACATATCAATCTAGCATCTATTGTCTTTGGATCTTTTTTACCTGCAAGAAAGAGTAATTCTTAAAATTATCGAAGACATAATTACACAAACGCACATCAAATTCACAGGTAGCTGATATATTCAAGCATTGCTTTTTAGTATTTTCTTTCAATTTTAAATCAAATTAATGTGCAATTTATTCCATAAATCATACAGCTATATTATCATTTGCTGAGATCAGTTGAAGAGGTTTGCCTTAGCAGAGCAGACAAATTACTGTCAAGAACTCATAAACAAACTCATCATAGATACCAGGATTAAAATTGTGTATGCCAGACGCCCGTTTCGTCTATCAACATTTGCACACTTTACACATTGCATTTGGCTTGCATTTATCACTCATAATTTTGTTACACTTATCAAATATAAAATATTACCTGTTATCAATGTTACAATCATCCCAACAAACACAACAATCAACACAGCTGTAAAGCTGTACCATACGTAAGACAGTGTGTACAACTTATCAACTGGGTTCCTGTGGTAATAGAAAATAATATTAGAATGCATGAAAAGTATGTACAATTCAAATGCAGCATGAATCCAGTAATCACTCTTCGCAAGGAAACATAATCACTCTTAGCTAGGAAACAGACTCCTCGGTTTGTAGACTGGACATATGTTGAATCGTCTTCGCTAGATCCCTGGAGATGATAAGATCGTAACGCTTGGCTAGCGAAGATGATTTGAATACCTTTGATGAAACTCTTAAAAGTTTTATTAACGATGCTAACTTTTGTGTTATTACAAAAATGATCAATTATGCTTAACAATTCAGTTACACAATTGTATATTTAATACCGAGATTTGTAACTACAAATATTACAAGCAGTTTGCATTGATAGAATATTGTTTGCATCTGGAGGTTTAAAAAGCAACAATTAATCATTAAAAAACTGTGAAATATAAGAAATGGTTTGTCATAATTGCATTTTCTATAACTACAGGTTTAAAATGGAATATACATTAAGTTCTGTGTACTTGAGGTGTTTATAAAGTCAATACTCTTAAGCATTGATATTCGTCGTCAGACCTTGTTAACACTTCATGTGTTTACTTACGAGTCCTTTACAGGTGGAACAGGAGTTAGATCTGCTATAGAAGTAGTTGTGGAATTATACAACATTGAATAATTGGCATATTCTACATATGTGTTTGTTCCATTTGTAAATACTGTGAAGTTTGGACATCCTGCTAACGAGATCGGAGCTCTTCCTAAGTCTGGTTTAGTTACATAAGCTCCTATTCCTATCCAGAACATCATAATCAAACTGCTGGCAAGACCACTATAGGCTCCCTTTAAGGTAAATATATGTGTATCAATGTATGAATGCGATTTAGCTAATACATTTTGTAATGGTTTTACTTTACAATTTGTAAACTTAAATAATCGTTATGGAATATTCGTTTCACAGATGACAACGGATATGTTCCAATTGTAACTACAATTCCGTCCCTTTTCCCCCGAATGTGACCAACCGCTTTAGACTTATCACCGGGTTTGTTCTAACATGAGCAACACGACGGGTGCAACATGTGGAGCAGGATCTGCTTACCCTTCCGGGGCACCTGAGATCACCCCCAGTTTTGGGTGTGGTTTGTGTTGCTCAGTCTTTGGTTTTCTATGTTGTGTTTTGTGTACTGTTGTTTGTCTGTTGGTCTTTTTCTTTTTTTTAGCCATGGCATTGTCAGTTTATTTTCGACTTATGAGTTTGAATGTCCCTTTATTATCCTCCGCCTCTCTTATATAAATGTCAATGTTGATGGTAGATTCAAATTTTAAGCGACAGAATTTATTGCAATTCGTGTATTTTCACACATCATACATCATTAATGAAAAAAGTTGAAATAATTTAGGAATCTGATCATTTATTGTAGGATTTCAGCCATAATATTGCGTTTTGATTCGTTGTTGTGACCCTTCCTAAAAACAAATTCATAAGATAAAGTTGTTGATTTCTTTGCTTATATAAAACGTAAACAAATACTTTAGTATGTTGGATAACGTTTAAAAGGGAAACTGTCAGCACGATTGGCGTTCAATAGCCACGGTGCTCATCATTATTCTAACCTGCTTATTACTATTTCAAAGTCTGGTATTTAGTAGTTATAGATATACATGTATTATAGTTGACTTTTGTATGGATCAGGCTAGTCAGATTTGCATTGGTGATCCGTTTCGTAAACCACCGAAAAACACACCTACATTTAATTCTACCTTCCTCAATTAATATAAAATAACGTAATGTGGTATAATGTCAATGATACAATATGCAATTTTCCAAAGGACATCAAAGGCCGAGGATTTAAACTACGGTTTACTATTACATGTGTCTGTATTTTTATTTAAATTGAATGAAGATTACACAGATCATTTACAGACGAAATACCAACCCATTTATTTGCCCACGGGAATATCATACCAAGGGTGAAGAGACCAAGCATGGGAGCTCCAAACATGCCGAATACAGCAAGAGCTGCCTGAAATTTAAAAACAAAATGCAATTCAGACATATTCAATGAATAAATTTTTTTTTTTTTATAAATAAATATATTGCTGTAATTACATGTATTCTAATTTAAAATCCGATTCATCAGTGGATATAACAGTAGTTGGTATCAATGTCTAATACAGAAGTGAAAAAAAAAACAACAGATGACTCGCGTGTTTCAGGATGTTCTTATCTTACGCTAGTTTTTCTTCGTTTACTGATGTTTATTCGTTCACATAGAAATTTTCTAATTGACACGTGTTTCTTATCCTCTCTTATTTTTTAGGTGTTTTTTTTGTTTAATTAGTTTTTTTGCGGGAGAGGGGTTGTTTTTGTTTTGTTTTTTTGTTTGTTTACGTCAATTTTTTTGAGTTTAATTCAATTAGTGTTGACAGCAAATTTACTTCTCGCCAACAAATGCATCATATCATTTGATTGAATTCATGTGGTAATTTAAGCACAAGTTTTATTTTTAGAATACCTTAACATATTTATCAAATAAGTTCAAATAAAGTCAGAATAAAATTAGTTACCTGCAGAATTCCGCCCAGTAAAGATGCCACGTATGTAAGACTTAAACAAATAATTCCAAACATAATTGCTAAAAAGGAGAAAAACATGAAATTACAGTGTACATATCAAGTGTGCCCACGAGTGAAATAATATCGTTAATTTCAAAAATATTGGTTCATACCGAAAATAAGAAGACACTAGTTATTGGAATATATATTCTACATCCGGCGCTGATTATTGGAATATAATTATATTCTATACCCGACGACGCTGATATCTAACTGTTCAAAGTCATTATCTGGTCAATGGACGGTAATGGTCTGTATATCGCCCGTGCCTTGGCGAAATATTATGAAGCTTAGCGATAACTTTAACAACTAAGATAGTATTTGAAAACCCGACTCAATCACCTTTTTAAGATCAGAAAATGAAGCCAAGTTACCGGTATGCGGTTGGTTTTGTCACTTCTTTGGCAGATATTTTTTGACTGTGTCTACAAGTTATATGGATTTACATGCCAATAAAACCCGCCGTGAAATAGCATGCATATATGTAAATGCTGCATAAATTGTAATAGCAGATTTTCTTTTAATTTTGAAGAAAGGTTGATTCATTACATTTGTCATATTTCTGGAAATTTCAAATTTTCCAAATAGGTAATGTAACTCATTTTTGTTCATATATCTAAATCAAATTTACCAAAGACTTTGGTGAGTGCTGCTGCTCTTTGGTCAGTAATGTTTGGAGCTATATATGGTTTAACGATGTCTTGTAACAAAACAGCTGACAATGAGTTTAATCCAGAAGACAATGTGCTGAAATTAGATTAAAAAAAACCAGTTGCTTCTCCTATTGTAATAAAAACATTGCTTTGGAAAGACACATTTAATTCTGGAAGTATGATTTTGTTTCTGGAATCAATAGAAATGTATTACAATTGACTTGTCTCATTTTGTGGCGCGAAAAATATAACCATTGGAACAGAATTGAAGTCAAATAATACTTTATAAACGAGCAAGACCTTTTCAGTTTGTGTATCAATGTTTATTTTAATATTAAAATTGAAAGTCGGATGGAAAGAAAAAGTGAACTAAATTAATGAATGACATACAATCAGATTTTTATCTAAGAAAAAATATTTATTAATGTAATGATCTAAATTTAGCCCTATTTTTCGACAAAAATTACTACAGAAATGAAAAAGTGTTGTATGTTCTCAAGAAATTTATTCTAAATCTTTGTATTTAATCTACCTTAAACTTCCACTGAAAATGGAGGCAACAAACAATCCAGGGACGCCAGGAACATGCCCCATAATATCCATCACAAACAGAGGGTAAAGCTGAAAAAAAAAACTTTCTTATTTATATTGTAATACTTTGATTGTTTATACCAAAGTAAAGATTAAATTAGACTGATATAAACAATATAAATCGAATACGATGCCAGGAGTTAACCTTAATTAACAGACCGATGAAATTTCAGTACATATACTTGTAGAGTCGGTATTGTGTTTCTCAAGTTCTTTACTGATATATATTCATTTACAAATGTTTAAAAAGATTTCAACGTTCCAATCATTTATATTCATTCTTACAATGTTCTTATAGTTTGAATGCAATTAATGTCCAAATACTGTCAAATTTTAGTTGTTTGAATATCACTGGCGTATGAGCTGGGAGGCAAGGATGATAATTGCCCCACCCCCTTTTTTTTGCGAAATATAAAATATGGACATAAAAAAACGAAAAATGAAAAGGTAAACGATTAACTTCTAGAAAATTAGCTGTAGAAAGCTTCTTTTTTGTCACTTTCAGAAGTTTGCACATATAAAGCTTTTGTTCGAGGCTTAAAACAGACAGCAAATCATCATTATCAAAATATCGGGACAAACACCTACCTGATCTGATGCCATAATGAGGCCATATGTCACTGGGTCACAGTGTCTGTAAAATGCATACAGAACAATGCCAACCAAACAACACAAATATAGAATAATACACAGGCCTGGAAAATTTAACCATAGTGCTCTGAAATTTACAATAAAAACATGGAAATTGCATTGACAAATCATTTAGTAGAATATATGACATATGAGTATTTTTACATAATTGCAATACATATGAAGTCTTTGTTAAAGAAAATGATACAAAATTTTTCAATTTCCAAAATTAGCTCTCTGTGGTCCAACTTTTATATTCCATGCAATCGTTTTTTTATTTCTATATATAACATGTATAATAATGTCTTTTATAATATAGTTATCAAAATAAAGGTTTTTATACATAATGTATCCCTCCTTATGCCATATATATGAATAAAATGAGATGTGGGGAAACGTCGAATAAACATGTCTTTTCATCAGAGTGCTTTTTTGTCTTAAAGATACATTGGGTTAAAAGTTCTACATCCTCAGATGATTTTTCAGAAATCTAAACCGCATAGTATACAAAATAATTTAATTATTTCAAATTGGCGAATGTGAATTCCACAGAATCAGAGTATTTTGATAACTTAAGAAATTGATTGATTTATTAATACGCGTGTTTAACACTGCGTCAGCGCATTTTGGCATTTTGGTTATATCACGGCGATAATCTACCTTTTATCCAATATGTGTTTGTACCTCTATCGTCTTTAAATCGCGTACTTTTAATTACATATTCTAGTTCAAGACCCTTTCCGTACTTACATTTTAGCATCTCGTAAGGATTTACATGTAAGAGCCCTTTGGACTTGTGCTTGGTTAGTACCATAGACTGATACCCATAGAAATGATCCACCAATGACTAAAGCCCAGGCACTATGACGGACGGATGGATCTACTCTAAAACTAAAATAAATGTTTAAAATTAGTTCATGTGTTTTATAACGCAAAAAATGAGTTATGTGGATTAACCAATAAACTTGTTTTCTTTGTTTAGTTTTAATCACTGGGTGGGCAATGTCACTGCAGGTGACCGTTCCTATTCCGATTATATCACTATCCAATAGCCAGCACTTCTATACTGAAGAGAGGCGAAAGATACCAAAGGGATATTCAAACTCATGTCGAAAATAAACTGACAACGCCATGAAAAAAAGGACCGAGTGACAAACAACAGAATACAAAACACAACATAGAAAACTAAAGACTGAGCAACACGAACCCCAATGATCCACCAAATGACTAAAGCCCAGGCACTATGACGGACGGATGGATCTACTCTAAAACTAAAATAAATGTATAAAATTAGTTCATGTGTTTTATAACGCAAAAAATGAGTTATGTGGATTAACCAATAAACTTGTTTTCTTTGTTTAGTTTTAATCACTGGGTGGGCAATGTCACTGCAGGTGACCGTTCCTTCTCCGATTATATCACTATCCAATAGCCAGCACTTCTTTACTGAAGAGAGGCGAAAGATACCAAAGGGATATTCAAACTCATGTCGAAAATAAACTGACAACGCCATGAAAAAAAGGACCGAGTGACAAACAACAGTATACAAAACACAACATAGAAAACTAAAGACTGAGCAACACGAACCCCTCCAAAACCGGGAGTGATCTCAGGTGCTCTGGTATGGTAAGCAGATCCTGCTCCACGTGAGGCACTTACTGACATGCAATATCATTCATGTGACCACTTACTGTCAATAAAATGTAAAATCTGTTCGAAACAATAAGGAGTTTCGCTAGACATTAATGGCTGACAAGGTTCGCCGATCTTTTGCTCATCTTTTTGAAACTTTTGGTTTTTAATGCTCTTCAACTTCGTAATAACTATTTTGATTCTAATGCTACTCATGTGTCTAATGTAGACGAAAATGCAAGTCTGCCGTCCTACAGTTATAAGCCTGTTATCTTTGTTGTGTTTTATAACCATTGATCACTATGGAGAATTGGTTACAGTTAATTATATCCGGTAGTAAAATCCCCCCCCCCCCCCCCCCCCCCCCCCCCCCCGACTATTTTTCTGAGGTAAGTAAGTCCATGATCATAATTTTATTAGAAAATATAGTCCCAGGAAAAAAGTTCTTAAAATATGTCATGCACTTATTTTCAAATAAGAATTATTCATGATTTTCATGTTCTTGCATAAAATAGAACATTTACTGGTATACATAGGATGCAAAGTCCGGGACCTACAGGAAGCAGGAGCCTGAAAACACTGTTACCTGTTTAAAAAGTTTACCTAGTAATAAAAGTCGATGTTATAAAAGTTCAAACCTATAGTAATAATAAAATATTCTATAATTTACATCTGAATGGTACGGAAGCCGGTTAGTGTCTGGGTGGAGTTTTATTTTTAAGTCGTTATAACGACTTAGCTAACTTGTTATAACGACTTAGCTTATCTAACTCGTTATAACAACTTAGCTTACTTGTTTTAATGACTTAGCTAACTCGTTATAACAAGTTAGCTAAGTCGTTTAAACGAGTTAGCTAAGTCGTTTTAACGAGTTAGCTAAATTGTTTAAACGAGTTAGCTAAGTTGTTTAAACGAGTTAGCTAAGTCATTAAAACAAGTTAGCTAAGTTGTTATAACGAGTTAGATAAGCTAAGTCGGTATAACAAGTTAGCTTAGTCGTTATAACGACTTAAAAATAAAACTCCACCCTGACACTAACCGGCTTCCGTAGAATGGTGTTCTTTCAGAACAAGGAAGATAATGTTACTAGCAAAATTGAGGACATAAGATATTTCCAACTATAAAAATAAATCTATGATCTTTTATATATGACATCGGACTAAAATACAAATAAATTATGTAACCATGGACACATTACTAGCAATTCATGTCCGCCCAGACATATTCTCTTATATAAAAAATGAAGTGCAAGATGAGATGATTAATGTTATCATCTGCTGGAGATCTAAATTCAATTGTTATTTCCTGTTATTATATTCTGGTATAGTCGAATATCCCTGCATAGAAAGTACACTTTTAAACAATAAGTATTCCTTTTTATTTTCAGATCTTAAGAGTGTTTAATCTTACATAAAAGAGACATATCTTCATTTTTTAAAGAAATACATCTTTGTCACAAATTAAGGCAGTTTACTATTTGAATATCTTTTATGTTTGATGCGACTTATCTATTGCTGAAAGTTTTCACTTACTACCAATTATATTGCAGATCAGACTTTGTACGTACATTTAAAGATGTATAGAGAAGGTCGCACTTCGATTAGAAATTAAAAAAAAATGATTATACCATGTAATACTAGTACACATAAATTAACATATAATTATAAATTCTCGACAAGTCTATTAAGAAACTTACTCTGCAAACCATACTCTCTCATTTTCAGCTGCTATTTCCCATGCTTTAGCAAATCCTCCAACTTCTATAGAGCCTTGGATCAGTGTAGCTAAAACACCAGTAATCATCATCACAACTTGAAAAGAATCCGTCCATAACACTGCTTTCATTCCGCCCTTCAAATACATAAGAAGTTTAAATTTCAGCATACGACTGTTCTCTATAGAGCTTATGCCGAGTGTTGTGACCTTTAATAAATTTGGGAGGTATTTCTTGGAAATTTCTATCTTTGGATCAAACAAAGTCAAAATAAAAAAAAATCACCAGAGACCGCGACATAAAATATGTTCAAAACCTCGTATTTTATCCTCTGAAAACAATTTTAAGACGCCCTAGCTTCTGTCGAATTATGATTGAGACTGGTATTACTTAGTTTTCACTCACACTTTTAGGATCGAGTGCATAAAGTTTACCCATATTAAATGTGAGGTGGAGAAAGATTTTAACAATATCGTCACTTGGTGCTTAAAAAAATTGCAAAATACTTACTCTTTAAAAAATTTTTTAATCAATTCGTTGTTTTAATTGGTTAAGATTTTAGTATATGCTTCAATTGGAACGACGTATTGGTTTATTTCAAATTATTTTACTTTAGGTCAGCGGTATTATACCTTGTTTTGTTGGGTCACTGTAAACTTTTTCTTTCCTACTGTAGACCGTTTATTTTTTAATACTAGGTTATTTATTTGTAAAACATTTTCTTACCAGTGCAGTATAAATCATGCAGACGATACCAACTGAAGCAACAGCACCCCACAAAGATAAACCAGTTACTGCAAAAAAATATGTGGAATTAACTTTGAATAATTACATTAAATGTTTGTTTCAAAAGAATTCGTACTTTTGATTGGCTCACAATAATTATTATAGATAGGCATTCCAAAATTTGATTTATTTCCCAATAAAATTCAGAAAAAGACAATTTGATGGACATTGCTTATTAATTCAGTCAGTGGACCATGATCTAGTGGGCAGGGCCTGGAAATGGTCGACAAACTGAGATGTAAACAATACAGACAGTAATGTAACTTTATAGCAAATATCGTTGTTTATTGTAAGTAGTTTCTATAAATATAACTTAAGCAGAAAAACTTATTAATAACATTGAAAATTGCTAATTAATTCGAAGTCACTTGACCATGTCCTAGGGGACAGGACCTCAAAATAGTCGTAAACTGATATGTACTGATAGTAATGTAACTTTATACAAAATATCATTGATCTATCACAAGAAGTTCTTATCATACTGACTTCAGCAGAAAAACTTAGCGTTGAAAATTGGTAATTAATTCAAAGTCACTGGACCATGACCTAGGGGGCAGGGCCTCGAAATAGTCGTCAAACTGATAGAAATGCAACTTCATACAAAATGTCATTGAGCTATCACAAGAAGAAAACTTAACATTGAAAATTGTTAATTAATTCAAAGTCACTGGACCATGTCCTAGGGGACAGGGCCTCAAAATAGTTGTCAAACTGATATGTACTGATAGTAGTCATACAAAATATCATTGATCTATCACAAGTAGATCTAAGCAGAAAACTTAACATTGAAAATTGCTAATTAATTCCAAGTCACTGGACCATGTCCTAGGTGGCAGGGCCTCAAAATAGTCGTCAAACTGATATGTACTGATAGTAATGCAACTTTATATTAAATATCAATGATCTATCACAAGTAGTTCCTATCAAAATAACTTAAGCAGAAATCTAAACAATTGTTGAAACCACCGCCGCGGCGCCGGAAAAGCAATCCCTGTGTCTCGCTTCCCGCGACTTTCGTCGCACGAGAGACAAAAACTGATTTGCTACAATTCTGGCAATAATTTTTCAATCATCAAATAAATATTTCATTAATTGATTCTCACAAATTGAGTATCTGTCGTGTTTTTCTTTTTTAATGTAAATAATGGTCATGTCTAGCTCATGAAAGCTACGAATTTATTCTTTCAATGCATATCATGTACATCAATAAATAATAACCGTTTTTGCTCTCGTATATTCTAGTTCTCATAACCCAATTCAGTAAAAAAAAAGGTAGAAATCCCGTGTTCAAAGTCTGAAACACTCGTGTAGTTGCGCATTTATCCAACTACGTAAATGCACTAGTAACTTTTCGTGTTATCTGCAAATGAGTTTTGTTTAAATTGAAATCATATCCTTTCTTGAACCCCCATCAGAAAAATATGTTATTAGTTTTCCAATTACTTGCCTTAACCAGATGGTCTTCAGGTCATTCACCCAACGAAACGGATGAAACACGTTAAAACAACAAAAAGGGTATGTTGTTTGCAGCCTCTATTGCAATAACCGCATGTTGCTACTGTCCCTCAAAAAGTAGTTTGGACAGGCTTGGTCAAGTCAATATTTCATTTAGAAAAAGCTTAATAATTTATCTTTTGATTCAGCAGTACTGCAATAAAATGGTAGATTTTATTGGAACAGACTATTTAAGGGTTCGATTCCTGTCAGCGACTATCCGCTTGAGTTTAGGTGTGCTGTGTTGTGGAAAATTACCTCCAATATCTATTTGCTCATGTACAATCTTTCTTCTGAATCTTAATTTTGCGATTTTTTTTACTTTGAAGTTACATAGTCGTATACTGTTGACTAAAGAAACGGTTAGAACACTCGCATTGTACATTTATCCATTTAGCAATTCCAAGAATCACATGGAAATGCTAGATCTATATGGGAATATTGCTTTTTCAAAGAAAAACAAATTTATGACAGAGTGAATATATTTACGATCACCAAAACATACCCGCATTTAATGCTAAAGATGGTCCATACAAAACAATTGACATATAGATCATCTACAAAAAAGTATAAGAAAAGAATACATCATGTACATGAAATAAATGTGAACTATGCTTATTTTTTGCATAAAAAATGTTTTGTCTACGATTGTACGTTGTAAATGAAATTAAGTTGATTTTTTTTTTAAGATAGTGTAAACGAGAGAAACGAATTGATGAAACACCACAAATCATCACTGCCTTTAAACCGGTTTCGTATCTTTACAGTTCCTACATAATCTGTAGACAGACCAATGCCTTACAGAAAGATAAAAAACGAAGAAAAAAAAACCCATTTAACATGCTTCTAAATTTGGTGCGTCCGAAGCGCTTTTCGGGATTTCTCAACCAAAAACATTTTGTAGAAACGTGTATGACATGAATTGTATGGGACAGTCTATAACTATTAGTACTAATATCTCAATGTGAGAAAATGGTAATATCGCATACTAGTATATGGAAAGGGAATTTTTAAATAGCTGATATTTAAATTCATATACCTACCATTTGCAATGAGAATATACACATGCCTGCTGTTCTGACACCTTTGCTGAACCGATGTTCCAAATACTACAAGAAAATTACATAATTTGTTCACTAAGTGAATAAACGGGTTGTTTAAAATAATCTTGTATTCAGTAAAAGAAGGTGAACAGATAACGAAAAAGGTTATGAACTGTACACATAGATGTAGCAATTTTTTTATAGGATGAAGAGTTCGAGGACATTATAACATGTTATAGTTCGTGCGTTTCGGTGACCTACAAATAACAAAGTCAATCTGCGATTTACATCTACTAATTATGTCATTTGAGACCATGATCTGCGGGATACCTATTAAAAACAGTTTCTTATATCGACTTCAAGAATTTAGTGTCTTGTTTATGTATATGTATTTTTTTTTTGGGCTTATAATTGATAGTTATGGTCTCTCTCTCTCTCTTTATATTAACGCCTTTTATTTTTTTTCAATGCTACATGTTTATATTGTTTTCTGTCTATCATTTGTTATTTACATGTTTTTTATTTAGTAACAATCCTATTGTTTGGATTTTAAACTAATAAAATTATTATTCTTATTCTATATTAATATTAAATTATTTGTAAATTATTTTGTATACGTTTGTATATGTCATGTATGATGTACACTTGGATTACGTAATGTCATATCTATTGTATGTGCTTCATCATGTTAATCTAATAAAATATTTGATATCTATGTTCTTTGACAAGGTAAACTTGGTTGTCACTATCAAGGTTTTTCATCAAAAACTTGGTCAGAGAAAAAACTGCACTGTGATTTGATAATCCCCTCCAAGTCCATCCAAGTTTCAAGAAAAACAGGATGATATTCTCTATTCCATCCAAGTCCATCAAAGTTTTTGATCATAATTTTCTTTTATATACGGTTGTCACTATAAATAAATCTATCAAAAACTTTTGACCACGATCAAGAAAACTTTGATAGTGACAAAGGGCCTTTAAGTGTGTGTGTGGAATTGGATAAATCTTTGATTTGATAGAAGCCTCATCGGAAACTGAGTGCTCCAAGTACATAAAAAATAAAAAATAAAAAGGCTGGCGACAGTAAAGTTCGTTTTTCATAACAAACATTATTTGAGATATAGCTTTTTCTAATATTTGTAAAAAGAAACTACTTATCGATAATTATTTAAATGACTATAGTATTACATCTTTAGATTTGTGAAAAATGAGCGGGAAATCATGGCGTGTGTAACGGTATAGGATACTAACCTCATATACACTGGTGACCCCGAGGTTATAGAAGACGGGAAGATAGATGTGTGCTGCCATGAACATAACAAAGAAATAAGAGATTCCAATGTACCAGTACATCGTAGTAAAATTATACATTTCTGCTGGAGTACCGAGCAGTGTTATAGCCGACATGAAACTTGCCAAAAGTGACATTGACACAGGTATAAAATGCATTTTTCCTCCTGCAAGAAGCACCTCTTTTGTACTATGTTTGCTTCTCCCTCTGTATCCGAAGAATAATCCGATGAGTAAAGAAACAACCAAAGTTCCAATGAAAAATACATAATCCAGAATATGAAATGTGTTTTTCCTGCCTGTGACAAAACTGTAAGATTTATCCTCCATTGTTGAACAATACGTTTTAAAGCAAAGTTCTAAATGCACTCTGCGTAATCAGAGCGCAAAACAACCTCTGCTAGATTTACTTGAAAACAACACTGAAGTGTTATAAACTCAACAAATGTGTGTGTTAAATGATAAACAGTTTAAATGTGTACTTCCTCGCACTTCTAAAGATAGTATAGTCGATATAATGAATCTACCGACAAGAGTTTATTATACTACATAAATTATAGTACAAACATCCAGGTGGTCAGCCCTGATTTTGTAAAGGTCTAAGTTATTTGTCGCTAGAATATGCGGGACCTCGAGGGCTCATGTGGGAAAAGCATACGTTCGGAATATAAAGTGTTGCAAATATTCACGCACATTACATAAATGTTTTAACGGTAAAAGACTAACTTTGTTTCAAATCGAGTCAGGATATTCCCAAATTGTAACAAATTATATAAATAATTTACATACCTGGTAGTGTCTTAATTAATATAGAAACAGCACATTAACATGACACTCGAGTTAAATTTTCTTTCAAACATTTGATACATTTTCTTGGTGGGTGGGGGAGTCGAGAAATAAATTTTGGAATGCGCATATAAAGTTAATTTCTAAATTTGGTAGCTTTCAATTTTTGCTTAAGGTTAATAAGATAAAAGATCAGATATTTATATTACAATTAAAGGGGCCAGTGATAAGCAAGAAATCTATTAAAGTGATTTATGCAATTAATCGACAGATGATTTTGAAAATCATATATAAATGTATAATCACCTTATTTTATTATCTAAGCCACAGCCAGGGCTAGAGCCATTCATATATGTGTAAAAACGTCTTAATAAAGGCAGATTATATATATATATATATATACATGTCTGTGTATTAATTTATATACATCCCGAATTATCAAACGAACGTACCGAAAGAGTCGGATTCGAAAATTTCAGGTGACCGAAGTATTTTGTACCCAATTCATCCTAAAGACCATTTTCAATAAGTCCATATTGTACTTTGCTGCAATATGAGTGGTTGAGGCAGGGAGGGGACACAAACGCAGGAATGGTTAAGTTCGCCTTAACTTTTTGTTCGCTATATATTGTATGCAATTGTCAAAGATAAATGTTTGGTTTTAATGTGTACATTAAAATCGATCTTAATTTATTTGTTGTATTCCTAGAAAACTGATGTAGAAACCCAAAATACCGTGAAAATAATTGCACTCCCAAATGAATGTTAACACGAGATAGTGTAGCTCACTAAAAGATATGATAAATATTATTCCAGAGACATTATCAATTATATCTTATACTGTTTATTTTACATCTATACAAATATTGAAAATAGTTACATTATATGTCTTATAGAAACTCATAGTAGCCCTGAAGACAATTTAGATTTTCCAGATTTTAAAGCTATCCATTTAGTACGACCGATTTGGGGGCATCTCAGTATATGTAAAATCATGTTTAAAGAGAGGAATTAAATTCCTGAAACATCAAACAAATGATTACATTTGGTTGCAGTTATGCAGGAGTTTTTTTTTTTGCCTTAAAAAAGATATATTTATCTACTATATGTACAATCCCCCTTCAGATTTTCCTTTTACTAAGTCTCTTGATCTAGATTATTTTGATATTCTTGACAAAGAAATATCCCTTTTTTCAGAACAAGGCCAGATTATCCTTAGGGGAGATTTAAATGCAAGAACTGAAATAGGCTTCGATTTTATAAAAGAAGATAATGGGGCCCATCGTCCCCCTTTTGATGGATATAGTCCTGACAGTAAGATTATATATATAGTCAACGTCAAAGTATGGACAAAATAGCTACATCAAGTGGCAGACAAGTAAATTATTTATGTATCCAACTTGGGCTACGCATTTTAATGGCCGTATTTTTAGAGATTCACTGGGTCAGTGTACGTCATATCAGTATGGTGGTAATAGTGTAGTAGATTACTTTATTGTTTCTGAGCAATTGTTAGAATATATATCTTTTTTCAAGGTACATAAATTTGATGATCTAATGTCTGATCATTGTAAAATATCATTGATGATAAACGTTAATTTGTATTTTACATGTTGTTAATCCAAAGTTGAATGATCTACCTAATAAATATAAATAGGACGAGAGCTCTGAAACTAAACTTAAACTAGCATTGGAATCTATTACAGTCAAAACACTAGTCATAGAATTTGAAAACTCAATCATCTAATAACTTTTCTATAGAGAAAAATAAAATTGAAATATTGTAAACAATTGCGATAAAATTATTTATGATCTGCTGATCAATGCCTTAAAAGGAAAGGGGGAACCCTAGGATAAAAAATACTGCATACCAAAAGGCTAAATCAAGTAACTCCTCTTTTAAGTGGTATATGATACGTCATTGATAAACTTAAAAAGACATCTTGACAATAGACGTAATCTCTTTCTTAAATATGACAGTGACCCAAATGTTAGATCTTTATATTTTAGTACACTTAAGCAATATAGGAAACTTATAAAACTTAAGTCTCGCCAATACCGCCAGGAGATTATAAATAGACTTGACACTTTATACAATACAATTCCAAAAGAATACTGGAAACTGCTTGATCAGCTTAAATCAAAAAGATAAATTTAAAACTGATGATGAAAGTAATGTATCTGATGATTATTTCAGGAAATTGAACAAAGAGGCATACTCAAATTCAGGAATGGATATACTATTAGAAAATTTAGTAATTTTCTTTTTTTAATAAATTAGATTTTATCATTTCTGAGAATGAAATACATAAAGCAATAAAAGAGCTGAAGAATAATAAAGCAGCAGGCTTTGATGTAATAATAAATGAGATGCTTTAATGTGGCCAGTCAGTTTTGGTGAAACCACTTAATAAACTATTTAATACTATCATCAGGGGAGTATCCAACACAGTGGAGTCAAGGGTATATTTATCCTATTCATAAAAATGGAGATTAAGATGATCCATCTAATTATAGAGGTATTGTTATTAATAGTTGTGTTGGAAAATTTTTCACAAAAGTCCTCAATTTACGGTTACATAATTATCTTTTAAAAAACGATATTATACCTCACGAACAAATAGGATTTACAAAGAAAAAAACGTACTGTGGACCACATGTTTGTCCTAAGATCCTTATTGAAAAACATACAAAAAGGGAGTAAACCTTTGTATACATGTTTTATTGATTTTAAAAAAGCTTTTGATTCAGTTTGGCTTTAGGGACTTTTCTATAACTGATACAAATTGATGTATGTGATAAATTTTATCATATATTGAAAATCATGTATGACAATACTAAACTATGTGTCAAATCAGGTCATAATTTGACTGATTTTTTTCAATCTGATGTTGGGGTAAGACAGGGAGTTATTTAAGCCCAAATTTATTCAAAATATTTATTAACGAAATAAAGAATGATGTTGATATCTCTAGTGATCCAACATTATTAAATGAGAATCCACTGAGTTGTTTCCTGTATGCTGATGATATGGTATTGTTATCTTCAAGTGAAAAAGGACTGCACACCACTCTTAATAGGCTATCATCTTATTGCTTGCAGTGGAACCTGAAAATAAACTTTGTAAAAACTAAATGTGTGATATTTAACACATCTGGTCGCTTATTAGGTTCAAAATTTACTATCAATAATATAACATTAGCAAATGTTAAACATTATAGATATTTTGGAGTTGTATTTTCAGCATCTTGTGCATTTACAGAGGCCAAGTCTGAACTTTACATGTGAAAAGGGGTTAAAGGCCTTTTTTTAAACTAAGAAAATCATTTAATGACTCACTTCCAAAAATTTCAACCTTCATTCATATATTTGACCACACAATTCAGCCAATTATACTTTACGGATCAGAAATATGGGGTGATGGCAGTCCCTCGAAACTAACGGATTCTTCTTCTTTTTATAAACTATTGTAAAAGTTGTAAATATATACTTGGTGTGAACAGAAAAAGCACAAACAATGCTGTCATGGCAGAAGTCGGACATTTACCCATACAATTGTCTATTTTAATTAGTATCCTTAAATATTGGATAACTTTAGAAAAATCTGAAGACATTTTATTAAAAGAAGCACTAGCACTTTCTAAAAGCCTACATGAAAAAGGTCATACTCCATGGTATAGTTATATTATTAAAGTTTTGGAGCTTCTGGGTCTCACTCCCAACAGTTTACTACATAAGAGTAAATATTGTGTTAAAAATATAGTCAAAGAAAAAATTAAAGGAATGTGTATAAAAGAATGGAAGATTAACATTTTTAATGATGTAAGAAGTAATAATAACCAAAAAGATAAACTTTTAATTTTAAACCCTACTTAAACCTGTTAAACTTTAAACAAAGACAGGCATTGACAAAACTCAGAAGTGGGGACCATCAGCTTGCAATTGAAACAGGGAGACACAAAAACATCCCAGCTTCTGAGCGTAAACTAGGTAAGTGGAAGCTGAGATCCACTTTCTTCTCACATGTAAAAAATCAGAAACTTATAGAAATACATTTATAAAAGAACTTTGTAGTCACTTATCCTAATTTAAAGAAATGTAATACCGAAAATATGTTTATATGGCTGATGGGTTGTGAGAATCTAGAAGTTCTAAAACGCTTATGTAATTTGATGATCAGTCTCTGGGCTGAAAGGGATGTTATATTAAAAAATGTAAAATGATGTCAGTTTACTGACCCAGTGAATCATTCCTAGGCCAAATTTGAAAGGAACATCTTTAATATTGTGGTATCAAATATATGGCACTATATCCATAGACATTTAGATATATGTTATGTTATATAGATATATATATATACATAATTTTATCTGGGTTTTTGTTTGTGTTTATTTTCTATTCTGTATTTTGTTACTATACATCATTAAGAATTAATAATAATCATTGTAATAAATTGTTTGTAATTATACTGCCCTTCTAGGGCGTCTCTGATTAACAATACAATTAGTGTATTGTATTGTATTGTATAAGTTATAGCATATATTATTATGATTGTTCCTTGCATTTAGATGTTTTTGTTTTCGTTTATTTGTATCAAGGATGTATATAGTCTTATAGTGATTTTTACATTTCCTTATATTGTAAGACCGCGAAAAATAAGAGTTGACATGCTAATTTGAACTAGTAAGTGGTTTTTGTAAGTGAACAATTAAGGACAAATATTCGGTGATATGCCGTTCATATCGAAGAGAAGTATTGCGTATTATATATACAACCGTAACAAAAAAATATAAACTCAACAGAATACTTAATACACTTATACATAT